TCTAATGGTCACAGTGGGGCTGAAGCGCGACTTAACGGATGAGAGCATTTATAATACCTTCACCCGACCACATCGTTTCTGAGCAATTATGAGACATATGGAAATTTTGCAAACACCAAAACTGAAGTTCATTTCCAAATCATTTCACTTTTAAAAGCGCTCGCAATTTTATATGCAAACTAAAAAATGTTCTAATCATGTATGGTCACGGTAGAAAGTTACAAGTGCACACATTATGAGACCGATTCCTTGATTGAAGCGTAATTGCTATTGCATGCCACTGGTTGCCTATCCTGCCAAGCAGACATTTGTACTAAGGTCTGTTTCCTTCTCATTCGAAAGAAAATTGCCTTTCAGCGCGTGTTGTCGGATCCAATAGTAACACCAGTGACGGATGAGTTCCCAACAGATGAACAGGAAGAACAACAAGCAGGAATAGATAAGAAGACACAAAAAACTGGCAAAAGATTCAAGCCTGGAGCCCAAGAGCTTAGTGTAGACTATGCAGCGAAAAAGCATAAAAAGGGAGCAGAAGTGAGTTTGACAAAATCTGAAATCCGCACAGATCACAAAAAGATTGTGTTTTTTCGCAGAGATGTGTTTCAAATCCCATCGTCACTCCAGTGTCAGATGAATTCCCCTCAGAAGAGGAGGAGAAAGGTTTAGATCCGAAAGAAAAAGAAAAAAAGGATAAGGAACCGAAGAAAGACGTAGCAATGAAGGAGGACTAGCTGAGAGTTGTAATAATTATTAGGACAGTATTCTTCAAATGCAACAATTATAAACAAAACATAACGCAATCTGGGCAGTAGTTTCATATTGTGTTATTATGTATTATTTAATTTGGTGCTAATCATAAAGGTTTGAGAGTTTACTTTTCGAGTCGCAATAGATTGACCAGCTGCAACAGTCAAGCGAAAAGCTACGCAACTCAAAGCAAAATGACCACTCTCGAAAACAAAAACAGAAACAGTCCTTATTTTTTGATGTCCATGTAAGATATGCTAGAGTTAAAAGTCTGTTTTTCCTACTTATGCTATTCTTTTTTGTTGTGTAAATAGTCTGCTCGAATGGAATTTGAGCTTTCAAGCTTTTTCATACACTTCCTTTTCGAAAAACTATTCAAATTAGGAGATGGCGAGCATGATCGGCATAAATCAGCGGATCATCACCTTTGAACTAG